AGGTTCCACCGCTTTATTTTCCATTATTTGGACTGGAGTGGATTTTAAATAACCTAGGCATAATCTCAGGCATTTATTTTTTTGAACTTCAAGTTTGTTTAGATGTGTATTGGCCGCTGATCCAAATAAATGACAGTTTTAGTCGAAAATCGGCCTAATGTTACGGTAAAACATCAAAGCAATATTTGGGTCTGCTCCCCAATTTGTTTTACAGAAAGCTCTTAAAATGTTTATTGAGTTTTCCGATTTTTTAACAATTTGATGAATGTGATCTTTCCATAACAATTTCCTGTCTAGATACATACCAAGATACTTAATACAGTTTTTTATAGGGAAATTAAATTTTCCCACATTAAAATTGCCTTGTGGAACTATATGTTTTTGTGAAAAATAGCACACTTCAGTTTTTGTGTCAGAAATTGATAATCCTATTTCTTCATAGTACTGATTTACGATTTCTAATGTGACTTTTAAATTCTCCTCACAGGTACTTAACAATTTTCCTGCTGTATATAAAACATCATCAGCATATTGAAGAATATTTGTATGGTTGGGTATACTAACTTCAAGATCTATGTTATACAGGATATATAAAATCGGGCTTAAAATACTCCCCTGTGGCAATCCAATGTTAGTTAGTCGGGGGTATGAAAATTCCTCATTATTAATTTTTAAAAAAGTTAGTCTGTTAGAATATAAAGATTTTAAAAAAAGAGCAAATGATCTAGGGATTCCGATATACAACATTTTTTGGTAAAGAATGTCTAAATTGACATTATTAAAAGCAGCAGAAATGTCAAGGAACGCAGCTGCTGTAGACTTATTTGATGTAAAATTAAGCTGAATTGAAGTAACTAAGAGCTGTAGTTGCATCTTGAGTGGACCTAGACTTGCGAAAACCATATTGGGAACTTGGAAGTATATCATCGTGTTCTAGCCAATGTTTAAATCTATTATAATAGGTCGGTAAGAACTTGGATCACGTTCTGGTCTGCCAGGTTTTTTAATGGGAATTACCAGATACTCTTTCCAACTATTTGGTACTGGTGTCTTATTTGTCCAAATATTGTTGAAAATGTTTACTAGTGAAATTTTATATTCTATAGGTAGGTTGTATAATAGCGAATATGACACATTGTCAATACCTGGAGAAGTATTATTTCTTTGTTCAGCGATGCAATTCCCATAAATGAAAATTCTCGTCAAAATTGTGGTTTTGTCTGGGTACTGTTTGGATATGTTTTTGTACAGTGTCGTCATTTGGAACCAATGCCGGAGCAATTTTTCTATGGAATTCCCGCAACCATGTATCTTCTGGATCAATAGGTACTTTGTTGGCTTCTTTGCGGTTTTTAAAACAATTAACTTTTCGCCAGATATCTTTTATTGGTGTTCTTGAGTTTAGACTTTCGCAAAAATCAATCCAATTCTTCTTTTTCTTCTGTTTGAAGATTTTTTTTGGAATAGCATCTAGTCGTTTAAACTCCATTCGGTTTTGGAGCGTTGGATTCTGTTTATAATTTATAAACGCACGTTTTCTATTTTCAGCTGCTAACTGACAATGATTATTCCACCATGGTTTCGGAATATGACCTTTGTTTTTTTTTCTTTAATGGAAGAATGTTTTGGGATAGCGACGTTGGCTGCCTGGTTTATATTTGTTACCAATTCTTCGTAGATTAATGGTATTTTCATTGCTTCCAAAGTGCTGGTATACATCATCCAATTGGATCTGTTAAAGTTCCATATTCTATGTTTTCTACTGGATCTGTCTTCTGCTGCTGAGAAACTTTGTGATGAAAAAATAATTGGCACATGATTGGATCCATAAGGTTCTTGTAAAGTACTCCAACGAAAATAAGAGGCAATATCTCGGGAACAAATAGTTAAGTCTACAGCAGAAGGTTTATTGGAAATAGCAAGAGTGGGGGACCCGTCGTTTAAATATTCTAAATTACAGTGTTCGATAGCATCTAGAAGATCTTTACCTAATCTATCATCAATTTCGCAGCCCCATGCCAAATTGTGTGCGTTAAAATCGCCTCCAATTATAAATGGTTTTGGTATATTTTCTAAAAAAGTGATCCATTGTTGTATTAAAACTTTGTTCCTGGGTTCATTATATAGAGAAATTATATGTAAAGGTTTCTTGAAATGTGCAATTTTTATTGAAATACACTTATATGTAAACGAATACGTATTTTGAAAATTTATTTCTTCATATATTTGTTGGATTTCAAGAGGATGGCACAACCGCCATATCCAACAGGGCGGTCAGCTCGAACACAATTAAATTCTTTAAAATTATAATATTTTCCCGGTTTGAACCAGGTTTCAGATAATAGAGCTATAGTGATGTCGTTTTGATGAAGTAAATATTCTAAATTCTCTTTATTAGCAACTGCTGAACGACAGTTCCACTGTAATACGTTTATTTTATTTAAGTCTGCGAATTTGATGCTAGATTTTGGTTAAAATGGCTACTAATTATCTGAATTACATCAGCTTTTGAAATATTAAAATTATTATTTTGTTTAATTGAATTAACAATTGTAAGAACCGAATCTAAAATGACATTTATTACAGAAGAATTTAACTCTTCTGACTGTGAATCTACAATGTTTAAGTTTTTTTTGGTAGAATTGACTTTTAACTATTCCCTCAGTATGTTTTGGAGGGGAAACTGTAGATACTATTTCTTTTCTAGCTATATTAGTTAGGTCTGAATTATTTGGTTTCTGCCTTTCATTTGGCCTACCGGTGTTTGTGTGAGGATTAAATATAAATTTAACAAAATTATTTCCCTAGTAGGAAGTAGAAGGTTGTAAATTTTGTGGAGAATTTGTAACATTGTTGGCTGTATTATTCCTAAGAATACTAGCATATGAATTCTTAGGCACTTGTTTATTTGCATCGTAAAAATTAATTTTTGTTAAACCCATAGTCTCTTTTATTAACTTTGTCGTGTGAATTCTGGGCAATCGCCTAAATTTGTAGTCAAATGATTCCCCTTACAACTGAAACATACTTTTGTGAACTCAACTTTTGTACAATCCTTTGAATTATGAGTTTCTTGGCATCTGTTACATCTTGGCTGACTTCTACATTGATTTCCTAAGTGGCCGTATCTAAGACAGTTAAAGCATGACAAAACTTTCTGTTTATATATTTCAACTTCTTTAATAACCTTATTGATGACTATATATTTAGGTAAAGTTTGCGATTTAAAGGTCACAATACAAGACTTAGTAGGGACATATTCGACAATTTTTTCCTTATTAACAAATTTTTCTACTTTACGTGTAATTCTTTTAAACGTTTGCAATTTCAAATATGCAATGACTATCATACTGTTTAATTCTATTTTTAATATACTCTTCCGACAAATCTGTGTCTATATCCCTAATAACTCCTTGTCTATGTAAAATAAATTTTGGAATATACAGATCTAAATTATTTGAACGAAATATTTCTAGAGTTTTGTTTTTGATGAGGTTGTTAGCAGTTTTATAATCTTTACATTTGACTCTAATTATATTTCGGCCAATGCCGTCTATACTTGAAATCATATTGTCTGCTTCAGGAAAGTTAGATAAAATAATTTCACCAATCTTTAAAGGATAAGTTTACCTCTAAACTCAGTAGAGCTATTCTCGATATATACATGATATGGGCGTAGATCATTACTATTGAATAAAAATGCTTGCCTTACCTGTTTTGTTACTTTTTATTGTGTTTCATTCAGAAGGGTTGTATTTGCATTATTCATCAAATTTATTGGTGTTGGGAGTACTTACAGAAAGATCCATTTCGGCATCACTTTGATTATCGAATATATTTCCAGACATACCTGGTTTTGAGGGTTTTTTGGGGTCAGGGGGTCTCTCCCCGCTATTGACACTCATACGGTAGGTATTTCAATAAACGATATTGTTGTTAGCCAACGCCACAAATTTCACAATTTAAAGCACAATATTAATTGTAAATTATTGCACGTCTAATTTCTATGAATACTACTACGGAACTGTAATACTGTTTAAATCTCTAAAAATTTGTAAGGAACTTCAAAAAGCGTCTTTTAAGTTTGACAGTTTTTTGACGTCTTGTAAATTATGTTTAATTTCATTCAATTTAATTCAATATAAGAGTTATAGGAAAATGTTGACACGTTATTTGGGGAACGGTATCGTTAGGTTCATATGTAAAAAGCCTGAGAAAAAAAAACGATAAACATACCAACAGCTTTTTTACTATTACCACTTGTAATGATATATTCTTCAAATACTGTTCTTAACTTTGTTTGAACAGAATTGATTGTTTTGCTCGGTTACAAAAATTACGGTGAGCGAGAAAATGATCAAGGAAGCCAGTGAGTTTATATGTTCGCCAAAGCTTTCGTTTATGTCGAATTAAGCGGGTAACTGAGAGGTTAAACCAAGGTTTTAGTCTATTTCTGTATAGTTGCCGTTCGGTTGAATGATCAGAAGTTGTTGTGATAGCAGTATGAAGAAAGGAGCCCCACATTGACGATGGATCTGAGTGATTAAGAAAAATAGATCTATTTGGGATAAAACTGAATAACATTAAAGAAATCAGTAGTGGCATATATTACAAAATCGAAATACCTACAGGAGTAAAAATTAATCATTTGTAAAAAATAAGTCTAAAATTGAAGGATTATTGTTGACTCTAAACCTTGTAAGTTCAGTTATTTATAAGTTCGCAAATCTCTAGAAATGGTACACCAGAAAATCTAAAAGCGATTGTTTCAAAACAGTGTTTCTTACCCAGAAACATTTTATACAATAGTTTTATTCCAAATGTTTTTTTTTATACATGGAAGTTTAAAATACCTACAATAAATAATAGTAGCCATTTTATCTGAAACTATTACTTATGCACACGATACTGTTCCGATAGCAGCAGGAATAGAATCCTTTCAAAATAAACTATAATTAATAATGCAAATGAAGCAATGAGACTCACAAAAAAAGACATACTAAAAGAGGACGTTTATGTATTTGTATGATTAAAAAAATAATGTTTCGGTAAAAAAGCTTACATAGTAATTGAGATATTGTACTAAAGAAAAAATCATATCAACAGTTTCGTCTTAACTAATACGGTATAACATCTTCCTCTGCATACAATGCTGCAACTGACCGCGTCTGATCAAAGCGTAAATAACTTTAACTACTGCTCTTTCTGGATATTGTTGGTGGACAAAATCTTGAATAATATTCTGTTGAGATACTCGCGTTCCTATCGCAAACCGACGCTTCAGCTGTTTCTCAATACGAGCCAACATGTCGTGTTCCTCCTCAGTTGTAAAACCCTCAACACCTAGAAATAATAAACATAATTATAAAATATGCATCTTCCCAACGTAATGTATTTTTTTTTGAATTTATTACAATACCTTTAATAACTTTTGACAAGTTTAATTACATGACAAGTACAATACATTTTAGAAGACTACAGAAACGGTATATTAATTTTTATTCACATAACGGTAATATTAAATATATAAATTAAGACGAAAACCTGTTAGCCTTATTTTGAAAATAGTTCTCATTCGATTTAAGTACATTTGTGAGATTACCACAATAAAGAATCTCGCCTGCGCAAAAAGTGATCATAATGTGTTTAAATATTTCTTTAAACTAATTGCGGGGATCAATCTTTTCACCAAAATAAATTTTAAGATTTTTTGGCTATATCTCAACACAAAACGTCTTGGGTAACACTTCCTGAAGTTAATCTTTTCATTTTTTGTTACAAATTAAAGTTTGAAAAAAAGTTTAAAATGATTTTTAAACGTAAGTAACACATTTTTGTTTTATTTTTGTTTTAATAAACACTAATAAAATGCTTATGAAAATGAAAACAAAGTCACTTATATCTCTTAACAAAAAACAAAATCCACAGCTGTGAATTTCAAGAAAAGGGGTTTAATATTGAAGAATTACTATACATTCACACAATTTTTTTACTTGTTGGCAAGTTAATCTAATGAAATTAATTCTTCGCAATGTTTGTGTGACTACGGGGTGTTTCTTTGTGAAAGTAACATACGTTAACTGTAAAACAGGTGACACTTAAAGCGATCTCAAAAAACTCATTCTTAACGGGTCATACTTCACCAATAACTTATTTGGTTCATAACTTTTAATCACACTTTATATTTTCTCTATATTAAATCGAGATGTAAAAAGAGAAGCAATGAAAAGTAAAAATGAGATGTGGGATCGAAGATGTGCAGAGGTGGATAGGTATATGGTTGGAACAAGAGTTGGACAAGCGTGGAAGGTGGAAGTATCTCCGAAGAGAAGGAAATGAATAATCTAACTTACAATTAATAGATCTGAAACAGTGGAAACACCATTATGAGGTCTTACTGACAGAGGATAGATGTAAATTTCAAGAGATCGAAATGGAAGAAATACCCGAACATACACAAATAATTGAGATAACAACCGGAGAGTTAAGCGATGCCCTCAAAAGATCGAAAAGCGGTAAAGCAGCAGGACCTGAAGACATCCCAATTGAGTTGGTAAAGTATGGATCAAAAATATTACATGAGATGTTGGTTTAACTATTTAACAAATGCTTAAAAGGATAAAATATCCCTGATGAATGTTGGATACATCAGCACAATAGTCAAGAAAGGGGATAAATGCAAATGCATTAATTATAGGGAAATAACTGTTATCGGCTCAGTGAGCAGATTGTACGGTCGAATAATAAAAGAAAGAATAGAATCAGAATACGAAGACATAGAAGAACAAAATGGATTTCGTGCAGGAAGATCGTGCTCTGATGGTATTCGTTCTACAGCATCGAATTACGGTAATCGAAAAACGGAAGACCAGAAATCTATCTCTCCACCTATTGTTTGTAGATTTAGAGAAGGCATACGATAAGGTACCTTTGAACAAACTGTTTCAAATACTGACGAAAGTAGACCTCAGCAGAGAGTATGTGGATGCTATCGCAAATATATACAAAAATGAAAGATGTGTCGTTAAAGAAGGAAACTTTATACCAAAGGGGCTTAAACAAGAATGTTGTCTATCTCCGACCTTATTTAAAATATATATTCAATCATCGCTAGAGCAGTGGAGGAAGCAAGTATCCGGAATGGGAATAGACATAGGCATGGTAAATGTTTAACAACTTTGTTTTTCGAAGATGACAGAAACACAAAAACATGCAATGAATATAAATATCTCGGATCTATAATATCTAAAGAAGACACACATCGAAAACAAAACGCAGCAGGGAAAAAAAGCGCTAAACATTTTAAACTCTCTACTATGGTCTAAAGATATTAGACAAGAAACGAAATTGACAATTTATCGAACACGAGAGCGTGTGGTGTATCCAAAAAAGATCATATCAGGAATGAAGATATTAAAAGGAGGACCAATATTGTATATTACAGTGTAGACATAATTTAAACGAGACAACTAGTGTGTTATGGTCACGTGAAGCGAATGAATGAAGATAGATGGCCAAAGAAAACGTTAAATTACATACCACAACAAAGAAGAAGAATGGGAAGGCCTTCAGTTGCCTGAGAAGAAAATGTACGGCACATAATGAGAGATAAAGCCATCAAAGAAGATAAATGAATGAACAGAAAAGTAATTCAGGTCTGGATTAAAAACAAAAACCTAGTGGTATTTGAATTTTCGTCAAAATGTTTTTTCTGATAAAAATTTCAGTACGCTCCAAAAACTCCCGAGTAGTAATACTGAACTCATTTCCATAATTTTTTTCCAAATTACAAATTTATCATTTTTCATCACTTCGAAATGCACTTTGGTAAATGCCTTTTCATTTTTATTCACAAACTTTCCTGACGTTCTTACTAATTCAATGCAACAAGTTTCATTGAGATCCATCCAACTGCAAAAATTTGGTAGGTTTATTACTTCATTGTCTAGCCTGTATTGATCGAAGACTAAAGCGTCCCGCCTGTGACCAAGTATTGATTGGTCACATCCCGTTCATTGCCGGATTGAGTATTGATCGATTCGGCCATCCCTCCCGCGACCAAATATGATTGGTGGCGTTTTGTTCCTCGTCCGGATCGATTCGGTCATCTCTAACACAGAATTCTTCTTAAGGTGCCTATCCGTTACGGATGTTGGACACTAACATGGCTATTCCGACTTTGTTGACTGCTACCCTGAAAAGTTCGGTAGTGGTTAAGTTAAACAATTTTCGCAGGATATGCAGCCAGGATATTCTTCTTTTTCCTGGACCTCTTTTCCCATGCATTTTACCTTGAAGTATGGTCCGAAGTAGGTCATATCGTTGTTCATTGCGCATTATATGGCCCAGGTATTCCAGCTTGCGACGTTTTATGGTTACGACTAGTTCGCGATCTTTACCCATTCTATGTAATTAACACAGAATAAGTAGTGAATATTCTTTCTCCTTGATGATTGGATACATCGTCCATTTTCAATTTTCCTAGCTTCTTCTTTGGGTGCCGTCTTCAATGAAGGTTGGCGATAACCTCAGCAAAATCATTTCTGTCCCTGGCTTTTCTTATTAAAGATTGAGAATCCAAACCAGTCCACTCACGAATGTTCTTCAACCAGGACGCCTGCCGTCTACCAGGACAACGTTTTCCTTCTACCTTCCCCTCTATAAGAAGCTGCAGTAGCTGGTATTTCTCATTTCTGTATATGTGTCCCAAATATGAGGTTTTCCGTGTTTTCATTATTTTTAAGAGTTCTCTGTCGGTACACATCTTGTGTAGGACCTGCTCGTTGCTCATATGCGCTGTCCAGGGGACTTTCAGCATCCTTCGAAATAACCACATTTCAAAACTTTCCAAACGCCTGAGTGAGTTGATTTTGAAGGTCCAGGCCTCCATTTCATATAGTAAGGTGCTGTAAACGTATTTTCCTAGCATTCCCGTATTTTATTTTTTCGCAGGTACCAACATTGGATCGCAGCGTCGTCTATTCATTCGCCAGGATCCTTATTTTATTTTTTTTTTGTATTGTACATATTACATTAACATGTACATATAACATATTACATTTATTTCGAATGTATTTTTATTTAAATTATACTTGTGTTTTACTGAGTCTGGTGTCTAACAAAACTACCCGTTACAAACTATAAATAATTTAGAACTCTAAACTTCAGAGAAAAAAGTTAAAACGTAACCTTTTACCTTATATACCTTTTTTTCGAGAACCAGATAGAAAATTGTCTGAGGTGTGAGAAACCGTTGATATTTGCAATTTGTTTAGAAAAATTAAATAAATAATTCTGACTGGAATCGTCTGAACAACACATTGATAAATATTGTGTATTATGCTTGATTCTACAAAAAATGTTATGTGAAATTTTTTATAGTCTATAGTCTATACAATTTTTTTATCACTACTTGTCATGACCTCGTAGCTTAATATAACACATTTGATTCGAGTTATTAATTTTACCAAAGATTAAATCACATCTAGAGCACACTATTCTTACCAGCTAAACTTCCACTCATTGCAGCATCCAACGTAGAGACTTGGAACAATCTAAGGGATTCATCCACATGAGTCTCGGTAACAAACGGTTGTAACTGCATTTTTGCCAAACTTTCAGAGATTCGAATTATAGCCTCCAATTGTCTCACAGTAATCGGAATTGAACTTTTTTTATCCGCTTCTTTCTCGTGTTGACTGGCTCCAGACCTCATCATGACGTAGCGCCTTTTAAGCTTTTCAGCTGCTTCTGGATTTAGTCTTGGACCGCAACGCCTGAAATACACAATTTCAACATAACTTAAACAACAATTATAAATATTATGCATATAATTCTATCCATAATTCGGTTCTTCACATCGATTCACTACTCTCTCAATTCGTTTCTAGTCATCATATATTTATTCTAAACAGGTTTAAATTAAAAACTGCAAAAAAATAACTAACAAAATAGAGTCGTTAAATGAGAAGTAAAAAATTAAAGGAATATCTGTCAATAAATGATTCGATTCGAATGTCAAAATTTAAAAGTAACAAATTTCATCCAATTAATAACAATATTGAATCATCTGTTTAAATTTTTATAACACTTCTCATTTTAAAATAATTTCATATAAATACAATTTGAAGACACGAGTGGATGAAGGTGCTATGTTACAAAATTTAGATTTTGAGAAAATTAAGGTTAAAGTTTTTCATTGTAAACTTTTCTCACATTCACTTTTATTAGGTAAAAACTTTTCTATGTCGTTACTAGTATATGGAATATGTTATTCACGGAAAAAAATATCAACAACAAAAAATGTGTCTTACCAAAATTTGAAAAAAACAGTACATAACACCTTCATCCACTGTATAATTCTAAAGAAATTAAAACAACTACTGTTTTATGGAAGAATCATGTATTAAAGAAAAACTTATCTAATCAGCTAACAAGATGTTATTGTTTAATATAAGGTAATAACAGTAATATAACGTAATACATTATTTTTTTTCTAAGATTGGTTCATAGAAATATCGATATTCTGGTTTTACAAACTTAAGCTGTTCTTGGAGATTTTTTCTTTTTTCTTCAGAGATAGTTCCATATTTCTCCCGAATTCTTTCGATTTCAATATTCTCTGGCGCTGCTGTTCTATTCTTATTTTGAAGAATATTTACTTTTCTAAAAGGACCTGTTTTCGTCATATGATTCTTTATACAGATAGGAACCATACTCTTCCACTCTTATCCATTTAATACCGTCTCTAAATCTGACTGTTTCATTTAGTTCGTCCTTTTTTCTGTTAGTAAGATTAAGTTTTTGCGGTAGATCAGCAATCCTTCTAAAGGGTTGAGCCATGTCAATGACTTGATTTTTTCGGCTAGCCTTTGAAATTATTTCCCGGTACGTATCTGGTACATATACCGTGTCGTGTTTTCGTAAAACCTTCTCTATTCTTCCGAAGTCTCTGTCACAATCTAAGTAAGTATGGCCAACCTCAGGAAACTTGTGGTCAATACAACGGAAGTATCCCTTCAAAATAAGATACTGATAAAGGCAAATCATGTGGAAGTTCTTGTTCTGGCCCGCACATGAATCGGACCAGATGATCAGATAATCCTTTTTGGTGATGCTTTCGTCGACTTCAATATATCTGAGTAGAGAACTGCATATTTCTGCACTTCCCCTGTTTGCAAGATCTTCGGTCCAGGTACAAAAACATGCTTTGTCTAGGCCTTTTGTAGTAATATGCACCCCAAAATTATAAAACCACATTTGCCTAAGGTAAAATGCTTTGGACGTTGTTATTTTTCAATATAAGGTTGAATGTTCGAATAATTAAACTTTGAGGGTGTACAAGGCAACTATCGAACACGGTGATTAATTTAATCTTGCCCAAGTACTTTCGATCAATAGATCATCTTCAGGAGCATTTCGTCAATTGTGGCCTATCCGACATAGTAGAATGTCATAAATGTAAAATCTGGACATAACAATACAAAATACACTACACTAAGACAAACAAACACTTTAAAATTTATATGGAGAAGCTACATATTGTGAAGAAGATTCTGTCTCCGGCTTCTTCACAATATGTAGCTTCTCCATATAAATTTTAAAGTGTTTGTTTGTCTTAGTGTAGTGTATTTTGTATTGTTATGTCCAGATTTTACATTTATGACATTCTACTATGTCGGATAGGCCACAATTGACGAAATGCCCCTGAAGATGATCTATTGATCGAAAGTACTTGGGCAAGATTAAATTAATCACCGTGTTCGATAGTTGCCTTGTACACCCTCAAAGTTGTTATTTTTGGCAGTGGCATTGTTTATTGCATATCGATTGTAATATAGACAAGTTGTCTGAATCTTTTGCTTTTTCCTTGTCAACTTTGAGCGCTTTAGTTGATGCTGTGTAGTTTTCTTTATGTCCATCGTTAGATTCACCTCCATCACAGATACTACACGTATCACTTTTCGGATACCCAAATGATAAATTAAACTCTCGCGAAAAAATGTTGGAATATGAACATTTTTTAATTCTAAATTTTCCAGGAAGTTGTGCCAGATTACATTCCTCAAGATAGAAATCATACACTTTGCTCAGGATTTCTATTTCTGGAATAGTGCGACTCTTTTACAGGAAATTTATTTATGTGCTCTATCACAAAATCCCTAACATCTTGGCCTATTTTGTGTGGCCTATTGGAGTGCTTACCTCTGCGATCTGGAGGAGGTGCTGCTACACCACTATTTATACGATTCTTTATAACATCAAGTTTTTTTCTGCCTATTTGGTATAGAGCGCATAACGCTTCTTTGCACACCTTTACGGTAATTCCATTTTTTGTAACGTTATACGTATATGACGCAGTTTTATGTTTAACAGCATCTTTTCTTTCCCTCAACACTGGTTTTTTAATGATTGATTTAAATAGTAAAGCATTTTTTGCATTAATATCAAGTCTATGAAATTCATCCAAAAATGCCTTCCTGTCATCTGCTGAAAATTTAGTGCTACAAGAAAATCTACAGCCTTGTCTACAAAGAATACCTTTTTCTGGCTCCTTTCTTGGAACGGGAATGTTTTTGTAAGACAAATATTCTTCACCTTTTGCTCTATCTAAAGCTGCTTTGCGTTTCTTCCACGTATTTGGATCTCGTTTTCGTTTTTTGGAAACTTTTGCTGTCGTTGAAAAAATCTTTTGCTTTCTTTGTTTTTCATTTTCTTGGTCAACCTCGTTAGACCCGTTAGAAGGATTAATTATAGGCTTTTGAATAATCCCGCTTCCTTCTTTGTCTCCAGAAATGAATGTACCTCCAACAAGGTTTTTTACATGACTGTGGTCCGCTCTTTCTTCGTCCTCCGTGACACTAGTTCCTGAAGAACTGCTTCGTTCATTACTCGGAAAGTATTCAGCATCACCACTGCTGTCTGACAAGAATGGTTGGGTCCCCTCCAAATCTGAAAATAAAAACAGCTATTTACTTACTTATATTTTAATTCTTCCTAATTATTATTGTTTAAAAATTACTTTTGAAAAGATAGGGGAATCCCCGGAGCAATCATGTGTAAATATTTATAACAGATGATAGTTGGGTTATGTATTTCAACCAGCTCATTTACACTTTTATATAAATATTATGATCTAAATACCTATTGCCCAAAATATAATAAAACTTAATTATTTCATAACAACAGGATTGCACTTACCTGTTACATTTGAAATTTCAATGTTGAGGTTAGAACTTGCTGTGAATTCATTTTCATCATTTGGCAAATTTTGTTCACAGTTTATTTGTTCCTGCACTAGTTTTAACATTTGTTTACCTCTGGAACTCATTATAAATGTTAACTAGCATTAATATTATGATATTACTGCAAAAAACTGTAATAATGACACAGAACACGTGCGCGCAATACCAACTCACCAAGTAAAACAAAATGGCCAGTGAGTGGATGAAGGGGTTATGTGTGTCACTTAACACCATCATTCATATGACGAAGGTATACAAAATATTACATGAATGTGGATGAAGGTATTTTGTGCCTATAACACCTTCTTCCATTATCCACTGGAAAATAATGTAACATAACTCCTTCATGTTAGACCATCCTTTAAAAAACCTAGACTTCTGTTACGAATCTTAGAATTCTAATGTGACCACGTGATAAACAGGTACATAATACCTTCATCCATACAAAAAAACCGTTTTTAGAAAAATGTTACATAGCACCTTCATCCACTCGTGTCTTCAATTATTTTTAACATCTTATTTAGTCTATATCATTAAATTTTCTATCAAAAGATATTTCATTTGACAGGTCTGTCAGAAGCAAACAACGTATGTTTTGTTAATACGTCAACAGGTGGCGTTAGGAACAAAACTAATAATTCATTGAATAATTTGAATATATTTTTTTAAAATTACTTCATACAATTTTAAGATTGTTAATAGGTTAGAAGGTGGCGATGGGGTAAACATTATAATTTATTAAATTATTTAAAAATAATTTAATTTGTTTAAAATATAAATAAATAAAAAAATTATTAAATTTTAAAAATATTTCAAATAAATAAATACAAATATTAAATTTTAAAAATACAGAAAACATAGTATGAAGCTTCGCGCTAGTACAGTACACATTTTTATGAGAAGTGTTAGCGTCGAAATCTCCAAATTGTTTCCCCTATACCCAAAAGCCACCACATGGAATAGACCTGGATTGGAGAACCTGGTGGACACTCAACCGCATATGCACCAGCGTTGCCCATGCACAACAAAACGTAATTAAATGGGGTAAAAACGCAGATATCGACGCGCTCTGTGAATGTGGGAAATACAGAATGTGGAAAATCTGAGAGTAGGCAGACTTTGTTCATGACAGTGCATCCTCGATGGTTTATTGCTCGGAAATACAAAGACAGTAGACGTAGCTTGATACTGGGCAGAAAATTTTTAGTCGAATGCAGACTCGAAAAAGTAAAAAACTATATTGTTTATCACAACGCCATATCCATCCCATGATTTTTCTGCCTAATTAAAAATAAAAGTAAATCTCACTTTTAAAGTGTTTATCATATATACGATATATAATTTTTTAGTTGATATAGGAAGTGTCTACTGACGAGATTTAATAATACTGTAACCATACTTACGTTCTACAGTAGTTTATATATTTCCTTATGAACTCCAATGACATTTCTCCATCTTTGGAAGTTTTTGTAATTTCTCCTGCACTCATATGTACGCCCATAATATGCTTTGCAAGAGTCTGTAAAAAGAAATATATAAATATAATAGCAAATTAATAAACTTGCGAGAATTGACGTATTTAAATTAACACATCAACCTTAAATCACATGTATTAAAGTAAATAAACGCGAAGGTAGCCACGGCTTTAGTGATGTTAATCCAAAAGTGTATATTATATACTATTTGCACAGGAAAATATTTTTTTTTGTGTGTTTTGGCTTGGACAATTGTCATTCAGCCAGTCTCAATCAGATCAGAAGTTTATTAATGTAGTGTGTGTGTCTGTGTTTGTGTGTGTGTAGAGTAATTGTCTTGATACTTAGCAAAGTCGACGTCATTGTCTTTGCTAAGAGACGCTAATTGTATCCGAACGTCTGCGGTCCCTCCGGTGAGTACCGATCACACAAGGATAGAAATTATTTTCATTTATTAATTTTTTTAATAAACGAAAATTTCCACCCAGGTGGGATTCGAACTCACGACCTTTAGGTTTAAAGGTAGGCGCTCTTACCACTGAGCCACAGAGGGGTCAATAAAATTTTTGCTTTTACCATTTTTCCTTTTTCAATTTCACCATAATTTCTTATCTTCTAAACCTTCCTTGGACATATACAGTGAACGGCTAAATTATGGAATATTATCATTACTTCGAGAACCGTTGAGTTTTGAGGGAAATCCCGAAGCAGGTCGAGTTTTGTTATAAAATACCCATCTTATAACGTACATAGAGTAGGGATGACGTCACCGGTGTAGCTGTAGTGACATAATCGTTAACTTTTTTAAATAGAAATCGGTATAATGCAACATCTCATTTAAACGAGAATTTAATTATGTATTTAATAACATTACATTTTTAACTAAAATATTTTTTAAGGGTACAAAAACAATTGTTTTTAATTTAAATTTAACTAAATTACAACTAATGATTTAATTCATAATGCACTTTAAAGTAACCAAATTATGCATAACAATTATTTTAAATTAAATGTTCGAAATGCCATCCATCGGTTCCTACCATGACTTTCTGAACTAAATATTTAAAAAAGCAAAAATAAGTAAAAATAATAATGGACACAAAAAGTTATCTCATAAACACTGAAACTTTTTGTCAAATGTTAATTCAAGCAAGTGATAGTGGCATAGTTACTGTAATCTGTAATATTTATTGACGTAAATCTTTTGATTTTGTGAATTGTCATCAGTTGTCAATTGTAATTTTTACTTTTGAATACTAAATTATGGCGCACCTAAATGAAACACAAGACATAGAAATATTAATTCTTAGCGGATGCGGAGATAAAAAAGAACACAGAACACAGCCAATCAAAAGTAAGTAAAATAGTCCGAGTATTTGGAAAAACTGGGCACGTTTTTATTTTTATTTTGGGCACAAAAACATATTATAAACGCTGGGCATCATAAAATTGAAGACAATGCGAAACTTGATATTTTATTAAATGTACATGGCAATCCTCACATTAGTTCAACAAAAATGGTTAAATATGCTGAAGTTTCCCAACGATCGGTATTACGTATTTTAGAAAGAGAAAAATACCATCCCTACAAAATTCAACTACATTAAGAATTAAACGACGACGATCCCGATCGCCGGCTTCAATTTTCTGAAATTATGCAGGATTTACGTATCCGCAATCCACATTTCATCAATCAAATCCTTTTTTCCGATGAAGCCACATTTTTATACATGGTACCGTGAATCGACAAAATTGCAGATATTGGATTTAGAAAATCCACATTTTATGACTGAGTCACACACGCAATATCCCCAGAAAGTAAATGTATGGAGAGGGATAATTAATGACAGAATTTGGCTCTTTTTTCTTTGAAGAAAATCTAACAGGAGAACGTTATTTAACTTTTTTGAGAAATCAACTTATACCTGTCCTTGATAACATGTATCCAAATGCCAATAATCCAAATTTACCTAGTGAAAATATCAGGTTTCAACAAGATGGAGCCCCTTCGCATTACGCACGTGAAGTACGTCAATTTTTAAATCATTACTTTCCCAGGAGGGGAATCGGAAGACGAGGTTTTATAGAGTGGCCAGCAAGGTCGCCAGATCTAACACCTCCAGACTTTTTCCTGTGGGGTTACATAAAATCAAAAGTTTATGTCAATAGACCCCAAAACTTACAGAACTTGAAAGATAGAATTAGGCATGAAGGCTAATTACTCCAGAAGTCATCCGCAATGTACTTGATGAATGTGACCGTTAATTCGCATATTGTCAAGAAACCGATGGATGGCATTTCGAACATTTAATTTAAAATAATTGTTATGCATAATTTGGTTACTATAAAGTACATTATTAATTAAATCATTAGTTGTAATTTAGTATTTTATATAATATAGTATATCATATAGTTGTAGTTTAGTACAAAAACAATTGTTTTTCAAACAAAACAACTACTAATCAAATAAGTATGTTAAAATTAATACAAAATAATAGCTACGAACAAAACTTAGGATTACATATTGACTCCATAAATCGAACGACGCTATATGAGGCCATGGGAACATTTGAAGTACCAGACAATCTAGTGAGAATGACGCTTAGAAACACGATAAATAGGGTAACGATGAAGGAAAGTTTTTAAGACAGTTCACAGTATATAGAGGTTTAAAACAAGGGGGTCCGCTAGTATTAGAACAAATTGTAGTCAAATATGAGCACAAACAGGACTATTTTTAATAGCATGGAAAAGTACATAGCGTACGCGGATGATGTATACAAGCGAGAACAAAAAAACATCATCATTATACAGTGCATAAATCTTTCAGCTGGACATAGGTAACATACATTGATTTATGCGCTTTCTTCAATCCACTGGTGTCGTCAAGGCGACCTGTTTGAAAATCATACAATTCTAGAGGCGTGGTTATTTCATTATTTAGAATTGAATTATTTCATTATAAATTAATTCTATCATTATGTCTCTGTTAGTGCCTTTGTCGTTCTGTGAATTTCGTATTTACCCGATCTTACCTTACTATTATGGGAATATAGGTACGTGACTTCCTACGATTAAAGCTTTACCGGAATCAATTTATTAAATCCGCACACATCATTTAAACATGATTTATGCTATCTAAAAACTGTTATCGACAAGTAAATATGTGCTGAGACGGCGAATATAGTACTACCGTGAAATTCATACTTGTCATTGAATTACATTTTTGTTGATTATTGAATATTAAATAGTCTGGATAATATTATAGTAGGAATTGCATAACCGGTAAATGATCAATCAATCGACAAAAATGTTATTTAAAACATGCGAACAGTTTTTGCAATCAGTGTTTATCATTGTTGTTATAGTATCGGCTGTGAAATTTGTGTTCGATTGCTTTGTCTTAATAGTTATCGTACTTATTTTGATAATTCGTTTTTTATTTTTATTTTGAAGTAATACGATTTCCCGTATATTCCATCAGTGTTTCGTAAAATAAAAATAGATATAACCAGTGATATAAGTCCACTACATCCACGTCATAGACCCGTCTCATAAGACAAAAAACAAATTATCTGGAAGGTATATGATCGACTAAAAAACACTACCTTCAAGGGAGCTATTAGTCGCTTTTTTTTTAACAGGATTATCAGTGGCAACAGTTAAACGTATTATGCGTCAGAAAAAACGAACAAATGGTTTTAAACCTCCAGCTGCAAATCAGCGCTCACGTGAACCTGTGAAGTTGGATGAACCCAAAAAAATCTCCATAGAACTGTACATTTACTTTTCTTTGAAAATAGGGCTTAAATATACGTGGATTATTATGAAAAGCATTACAAGATCTTATCTTTCTATATACAAAACGATGTCGGAATTCTATGTTAACAGATAAAGAGGAAATTATATCATGGCGACGTATTTATCTACGCTAAATTCATAAATATAGCGCAACAAAACGAAAAATTTATTACCTCGACGAAACTTTAGTTAACGCCGGACATATAGTCGCATAAGTTTGGTAAGATACAACAGTAAAAAATGCACAAAAAAGCCTTTGTTGAAGGTTTATTGACAAGGTTGCGAACGCCGAAAGGACCAGCGCCTAACTGTCGCTCATATTGGCAGCGATACTGGTTTTCTGCAAAATAGTATTTTTGTTTTTAAGTCGAAGAAAACTGGGAACTATCATGAAGACATGAACTCCATATGATTCGAGAACATTCTCCAGCGCGCAGATAGTAACTCGTATCATAGTATTAGATAATGATTTTATCACAGCCGCATGTTAAACACATTTCAATGATAACTGATAGAAAATCCATAATGCAGAGCTGGCTACGAGAAAAATGTATTTTATTTAGAGGATATAGTTAAAGCAGAACTAATGACAATAATCAAGAGCATCGTGGTAGATATCGTCATAATGCTGTTGATTTAATGGCCCGACTTTATGGTATTACTGTTGAAACTTCCACCTTATCATTATGAGTTGAATCCATTTGAATTAATTTCGGCTCAAATGAAGGAATATGTTGCCCGATAGAACGTAACATTTAAAATTAGCGATACTCAGTGTATTACAAACCAGTATAGATTGCATAAATCCTACAAATTGAAAGAACGCTATTTGCCATGTATTGAAAATAGAAGAGAAAATGTAGAAGCTGGATGGTATAGTGGAAAGTGTTATTACATCTGTAATAGTAAGTATCGACGCCAACGAGTCATAAAACTCAATGAATTCTCAGGAATCTGATGATTTATAAACCAAGCTCTAACTGAAAATTTTATTGTTTAATATAAATATTTTTATTGTTGTGATATATTTTTTATCCTTACTTTATTTATGCTAATTATGCTAGGTATGGTAACAAAAATTTTAAATCACAGAATATAAATTAATTTTTATTGTAGGATTATCTATTTAAATATTTATTAATCTTTTTAAAATACATAAAAGGCGTATTTACGACTAGAATAAAATCGTGGGTCAAATAACCAAGCGACCCAGACTTCACTGTGAGCTATCAGCTATTAAAATGTTGTGAACCAGTATTACATATTTTGATTTTCTTATAGTGATACTATACTTACCATATCACGTTGTTTATCGTGTTCATCTTTAACAATGAAAATCATATCAAAACGTGAGAGAATGGTTGGTAAAAAGTCGATATTTTCTTCACCCTAGAATAAAATTAAAATATTAGCAAATTATGGCCGCAGATTAGAGTAGAAATACAGAGTGATTCTTTGGCACTTTCAATCAGACTTTTTAGAGAAACTGGACATAATTAATTTATTTTAAATTATATATATATATATATATATATATATATATATATATATATATATATATATATATATATATAATTATATATAATTGATTTTAAAAAAAATCCAACATTAAAAACCTAGAAGCATTCGAAATGTGGTGTTACCGACGTATTTTGAAAATATCATGGATGGATCGCAAAACAAACGAACAAGTTCTCGAACAACTAGGAAAACAATGCGAAGTTTTAAATTCCATAAAAATCAGGAAATTGGAATACTTGGGGCACATCATGAGAGGTGAAAAGTACGAACTACTAAGGAATATAATGCAGGGTAAAATCAAAGGTAGAAGAAGCGTAGGAAGATGTAAAATCTCGTGGCTACGCAATCTCCGTGAATGGTTTGGATGCAGTTCAATTGAACTATTAAGGCGAGTAACCAATAAAATTATAATTGCCAGAATGATTTCCAATCTCCGATAGGAGTGGAACTTGAAGAAGAAGAAGGACATAATTCATATCTGAACATTTAGAATGAGGGGTTTTTAAATATGCCCATTCCGTTCTTTATAGATTCTAGCTTAATAATGGAGTTTTATTGCATTTCCACGAGAACCAAATCATATCTACCATTTGAATAGTAGTAAAATGCATTATTGTTAATATTTAGGATGAATTGATTACTGAACTAATAAACAATACATATATGCTACATATTTGCCCATTTAATCTTATTTGTAGCAGCCCTGAGAAAAGGAGTATGACCGTCAATCCAATATAAATTAAGGATCACTCAGACGAGTGGTGGGTTTTTTTTAGGTCAAAAGGTGGAGAAAAACGACAAAGTTGATGGCTACTTCATCTATTTATTGAAGACGTTTCGCTTTCTTAATCAGAAAGCATCATCAGTTCATTTAAAAAGAACAATATGATAAAACCACACATTCTCCATGCACACACACACACACACATATATATATATATATATATATATATATATATATATATATATATATATATATATATATATATATTTGTGGTGTTTGGGAGACATATGATAACTCCAAAATGTATGTTTTTCAGTAGAGCAATTTTAACATTCCAGAAGGTTTCTTAAATCGAAGGCAACCAAATTAAAAACCAAATATATTTCATTAAATACTTTATTAAGTGCTAAAACAGATGTAACGAACAAAATATGTTTTAACATTTCTGTTTTTGATATATTGGCACATATCATATTTGTATAAAAAATATAGAGATTTAAAAAGTATTTTAATGGAGATAACGGTCAAATAGGAAAGAACTTAAACTATTATTGGTCAATTTCTTTGTATTGGAAAACAGTGCTGCGAAAATATATGGCATTATTTGCACCTAATTAAAACTTAAGCGTCGAAATTTTCATCACTGTCGCTTGTATATTGTGTGGTACTGGTTTGAGTGTGTTTAAGCGAATGGTAAAATCCATGATAGATTGGATCTATAAAGGATAGTAAGTCGAGAATATCTTTATATTTCAAATAATCTATGGGTAGAGGATCACTATTAGCTGGAAGTATCTGAATATTAGACATGGAAGTTGACCTGCCTCTTCTTAGCATGGACATTGAACGAAACGGTTCGTTGGGATCTAATTTGTATTTGAAGCCTACATAACTATCCTTTTTGTAATGTGTTCAGTCCTGTGGAACTGAAATTGTGGCGTTTCTTTTTTCACAAATCTCTCCATGGTAGCATAGTCTGTATCACATTCTAAATGAGTATGATCAGGAACTAGGAACTTATGATGAATTTCTTTTAGAGGTTCCTTTCCTTCAAGTGCTTTTAAAAACATAATCGGTAATATATTATTTCGGTTTTGACCGGGGCATGTATCAGAATAAAGGACTACTTTTTCTACCTGTTCTGGCAAGTCTCTAATAAACTAAAATAAGCAAGATGCGATCTCATCAGCTCCTCGTTGAGCTACAATTTCATGCCACATATAACACGATGTCCGTTTTGTGGTGATATTGCGGATCGTCAAATTAAAAGTCCATAACTTTCTTTTATAGAAAGCCACACTATATGTCAAATTAGGTGTAGTCAAATACTTGTACTGCAAATCAAATGCAACTACGACAAGCTTGTCTAAGCTCCGAATACTTTCTTCTTTGTCGTCTTGTTTTGTTGTATAATGAAAGGAAGCATTATTCTGGTATTGTTGGCTTTAATTTTCTAATCTTTGTTTTTCTTCTTCAGAGGCACAGCTTTTTATCTTCAGAAACAATAAATTGCAGATTTTGCAAGTGTCATTACATGGCTTCTTAAACTTAGATATAAGTAGAAGATGCTTTCTTTTTTTAACAACGTCATCTAAGAAACTTCTGGTTTCGCCAAATACGTTCAAAAAGCAACATTTACAGATATTACCATCCATATTCTCCAACTTATAAAGAACTGTAAATTACCTATTTTTGACTGAGTAACCACGCCGTGTTCTTTCTTTAGGTTTTCTGTTATTAAACTAGTCAAATAACGTTTCTGTGTATCCATAGTTAACAAGTTTCTGTAGTCTCTAAAAATTTGCTTTAGATCAACAGAGGCAGTCTTTTCATGACATTTTGCTTAAAAGTTTGTGGACACAGGTATTGAAACTTGAACTGAAATGCTCTTGCCTTTAGCAATAATGTATTCCTCACCTTTTCTTCTTTCAGAACGACCTTTCTTCCTTTTTTTTATACTTATTTGAGCCAAAGGAAAGTGATCATCTAATTCATCTGAAAGTGATCTCATTCATCGTTTTGAGGGTCTTCGGAATCAGCTTTTCCATATTCACGTTCAGAATCTGATGGTTTCAGGTGATAGATCCAGAACTTAAATTATCACCAGAAGTTACTTCAGAAGCTAATAAATTCAGCAGATCAGTATTTTCTTTAAGATTTACTGGTGAAGATAGTGCTGGTTTTAAAACGTTCAAATTGCTTCCTTTACTTCCAGAGGGGCCTGGTTATAAAGCTGATTCAACATCAGTCAGTTCTACACTATCAAACTTAATACTTATATTATTAGAAGACGACTATTCATTTTCTAATAAACACATCTCAATTATTTTCGTAATACGAAAACTTATATTATAAGCCAAGTTTACCAAATTACTCGATCGCATTTACTGCGTCATTCGCCTTCGAAAGATTTAGATAAACTGACTTTAATACTGACTTACTGACTAAGTGTAACCGTTGATTGAATAACCCAAATTTGGGTTATTCAATCTTGGGTTATTCAATCAACGGTGTAACTAACTAGTCATCGATAGACCTTAACACTAATACAATGCAATCTACACGTTCGTGAATACGACCAAATGCTCATGAATAATTATGATAAGTACAAAACAACGAAAAGAAAAGTTTGATATTTGCCACTTACATAAAAAACTTACAGAAAATGCCACTTAAATAAAATATTTTTATTTGAATCAAAGATGTTAAGTGGGATATAGCATAAAATTACCGAAATAATTTGCATATTATTTGATATAACTATGATAAGTACCAATTATCACATATGGACCAAAATGCTTTACGAAAAGAATGTGCATATTATTTGATCTAGACATGATAAGTACCAATTATCAGATATGAACCAAAACGTTATTGTTTAGTTTTGTTTACGGGTACATGATATAATATTTTAACAGGACTATACCAAACAAAATTTGAATAATAGGGACTTATCAATATTATACCAAGCCGTGGCTCATTTTCTAGACGCGATAGACATACCATAGTCAGATCAAACGAAAATAGATCAAAAACAAAATGCAGTGCCGGGCTTAACAAAATTTTCGCTATTTTGGAGTTATCATGTTTCTCCCAAACACCACAGATATATATATATATATATATATATATATATATATATATATATATATATATATATATATATTTGGTAATAATGTAATAATGTATTTAAAAATCGTATTACCTTCGTATCATCCCACCGACCAAAAATACTGTTTGCAGCAGCAAGTACAGAGCATCTTGAGTTTAAAGTAGTCGTGATGCCTGCTTTAGCAATAGAAATGGTTTGTTGTTCCATGGCTTCGTGAATAGCTACTCTATCATCTTCTCTCATTTTGTCGAACTCATCGATACAGACAACACCACCATCGGCAAGAACCATTGCTCCTCCTTCCATAACAAAGTTACGCTAAAGACAAAGAAAGCTGATTATTTGTCTACTTTCATAACAAATGGAATGCTTCAATTGAGAAAGTTCCCAAATTTCTTAATTGTAGTTATAATACTTTCTTTTTCAATTGAAAATATTTGTATACTACTAACAAGATAAGAACTGATAATTAAATAGAAAATACTTACTGTGGCAGGATCTCTCATAACTGATGCAGTTAAACCAGCCGCAGAACTGCCCTTTCCTGAAGTGTATACAGCAATAGGGGCAACTTTTTCAACAAACTTTAGTAGTTGAGATTTTGCAGTACCTGGATCACCCAATAACAAGATATTTATATCTCCTCTTCTTGTCAAACCATCCGGCAATCTCTTCCTAGAACCACCAAAAAGAAGGCAAGCAATTGCTTTTTTGATATCAGCTGATCCATAAATAGAAGGAGCAATACTCGTCGCTATTCTCTCATAGATGTTTGGAAGGGCAGCTAAACGTCGGAAAGTGCTTTCTTCTTCTGAAGATATTACAGAGCAACCTGTTGCTCCCAAACCTTCACTATCCAGTTGAATACCTACAACGCGCATGTAAGACGTTCTTACCCCAGTAGTGGCTTTCTCCCTACCTTCCCGCTAAAAAGAATGTTGAATTAATATCATAAATAATTATTTTGTAAAATGTTAAAACCATGATTGTATAAGTCGGTGTAAACATATATGTGTATCTGCATATGGTAATTAAGCCATTGCCTCTCTGAAGCTCGAATGCGAAAGGGAATGGTAAATGGTTAGTAAATGTGTATAGGTGGCAGTAGCTAGACTAAGCGGCTACCGCCACATTCAATGCCAAGCAATGTACTAATCGACATTCGTTGATGGCACTAAAAATAGCACTTTTTGGGGAAATTAACACGTCAAATTCAGATTAACAGAAATCAAGAAGGGCAAATAACCAGTGATCCAAAAGAAATAAAATCAGTCTGCAAAACCTATTTCCACACTCCTCAATTAAGGAAGACACCGAAAATATATTATCCTCGACAATGAAAGAACAAAAGACTATCAAAGCTCCAGGTATTGACAACGTCTCCTCTGAGCTATATACAGTGGTGTTAAAAAGTCTTGCATCACCTTACCACATACATAACAATAGAAGTTTAAGGCATTTACCTTAAATATTTTTGAACTATTTACTATCTTCATCAAACAAGCACTTACACAATATTATAAAATGGAAACACAGTCAAAATTTTGATTAATAAAAAAATGGAGTTCGAAAATTTTTTTATTCAATATTACAAAAATTACGCTATTTACATCAAGATCATATAGTACATCACATTGAAGTAATTTAAACTAATTTTAATATTTAATTGGGCAGCCCTTGTTTTTAATAACTAGTTTACATCTTTTGGGCACGGAATTTTTTAATTTTTGCAGTTCCTCCATGGAAATACAGTAATGCCAAGCGTGGATTAGAGATTCGATTAATTTCGTTTTATTTGTGGGTTTGATTTTGGAAATGATGTTTGATATCCTTTGCCACAAATTCTCGATGGGATTGAGGGTCCGGGGATTGCGCTGGCCAGTCCATCCTATCAATTTCATTACTCTCCATCCAAGCTTTAAACAATTTTGCTCTATGGCAAGGAGCATTATCATTCTGAAAAATAAATTTTCTTCGCCAAACAGGTCTTTTCCACTACGCAGCATCTTATTCTGTAGTACCTCAATATATTTGGTAGTATTTATGGAGAAAATTTTTCACCAGGAAATCTTCTGACGTAGGCATTTCCAGCATGATTATTGATATTGAAAGTGGATTCATCACTAAACAGTACCCTCTGCCACTGCTCTGCTGTCCAATTTCGATGTTCCTTTGCCCATTTCAAACGTTGCAATCTTTGCTTTTCTGAAAGCAGTGGATTCTTCCGTGCCTTACATCCTCTAATTCCAAAAATAAGCAGTCTTTTTCTCACAGTGGAAGTGCACACGCTTACACCTGTAGATTCAGACCACAGCTTCGTGTTATTGGGTGGAATGAAGGTTCTGTGAGCCAGAAATGTTCTTCTTAACGCAGCTTAATCCCGAACAGAAGTTTTCTTTGGTCGGCCACTACGCGGTCTGTCGTCGATTTTTCCTTGTTCAGCAAACTTCTTAATGACTCTAATTACTGTAGATTGATTACAGTTTACTGCGGATGCTATTTCGCGACTAGATTTGTCGTTTTTATGGTGAAAAATATTTTAAAAACGATTTTCGTCCGATAATTTAGTTTGTTTGGTCTGGGATGGCATTTTAACCTTTTTATCAAAAATCAAAGAGCGAACAAATGCGTTAGGGTAACTACAGTGTTTATATAGTCAAAATATGTTTCCAATTTGTCATTAAGATTTAATTTAGCACTTCAACGACTTAATAATCACTTCATAATTTTCTCGGATTATGGGAAATCCCTTCAATAAAATTATTTTAATACTTTCTGTAGAATTTAGTATACCGATAATGCTAATTACAAGCACAATCTTAAAATGAATTAGCGAAAATATACAAAAAACTTGTGTTAAACCTAAAAAACTATAAGGCGCTTAGGCGATGCAGGACTTTTTAACACCACTGTACATTAGGTGGTGAACAACTAGCAGGGCAAATGCATATGCTTATGAAGAAGATTTGGAATGATGAAAAGATCATAAGTGACTAGAAAACCGGGATTATATGCCCAATCTACAAAAAGGAGATAAACTGAAATGCGAAAAATATCGCTGCATGCTTTGTGCACAGCGTACAGTAAGTTTTTACTTACTAAATGAAAATATTGTCGGCGAATATCAAACCGGTTTCCGACAAGGAAGAACAACTGATCAGCTATTCACAGTCAAACAAATTTTTACACTGACGTAATTAACATATTCATAGATTTCAAATAGGCCTATGACTCAATTAATAGACAAGTTATATTAAATATTGCATAGCTTTAACGTCCCCCAAAAATACATCCGACTAGTAAAAGCAACAATGGACTCATCAACAGCAACTGTCAAGTACAAAATTAGCTCACTAAGAACTGTTTAACCGTCAAAGGATTAAAGCAAGGAGACGGGCTGGCACCGGCACTATTCAACCTGACTCTCGAATATGTGATAAGATAGCTGAATATAGGAAGATGTAATCTCCTAAAAAATAAATCAATACAGATTGCGCCTATGCCGATGGCATTAGCATTATATCTCGCAAAACAGAATAGGCAGCAAAAATATATTCACACTTAAAAGCAAATGTAAAAGTGACCGAACTAGAAATAATTATTCAGAAGACAAAAAAGCTAACACAGGCAAGTGCTAGGGGAAACAGACGCACAGTTGAATTATAGGATGATATTGAAACTGTTGAAAGTTTCACATATCTGGTAGTTGCATTAAACACGGATGGAACAGATGAACCAGAAATTCAAAGAAACTCGTCCATGTGTTCCGCTCCAAAAACACACACTGGAGATCGAAAAGCAGGGTCTAAAAAATTAGTATCAGACCAAAAGTATGTTATGGATGCGAGATATGAGTGATGACAGAAGACACAAAAACAAAAGCTGAAAGTCTTCAAAAGAAAAGTCCTAAGGAAGATATTTGAACCTATTAACGAAAACGGAGAATAGAGATCCAGGTACAACCATGAACTTTACCAATTGTTCAAATAGGCACCGATCTCAGAATTCGTTAAACTTCAAAGACTTCGAATTCGTTAAAATTCGGGCTGGTCATGTAGTGAGAATGGAGATCGAAAGATTGCCAACAAGGGCCCTATTATCAAGACTGGCAACCTATTATCAATGTATTCTCCTAATTTTAAATGTATGTCATAATGTGAATTTGATTAACTATGTTATGAACTTAGTAATCCTGCAGTGGGATCGTAGGCTATAAGATATATTCTATCCAAAATCAACCTAACCTAATACACCTGAAAAATTTTGAATACGCCATTTTGACGATTTTTTATTTAACAGATAAAATGTTTATATTTAAGTATAGATAGCTTTTCAATGGTAATTCGAAAAAATCGGATTTTTCGAACAACATTGTTAATAATTAAAAACCAACGCTGAAATGTCTACGAAAAACGTATAGATTTTCTTACTATAGCTATATATTAAAGGAAAAACTCGTCAAATACCTAGCTATTGAAATGTCTCGAACCCCCTTAAATTTTGCTTATTTACCTCGTGTAAGATGTTATTTCTTGTTATTTGAAGATATATGATTAAGAAACTGAAGTATCTTGGCTTACCCTCGAAAGTTTGTTGATTTTTTTAATACAAAATATTCCTAAAATCTGCACTCTATTTCCAGGAACAACTCTCTCACACAAGTATCTATCAGCGTACAAAGTGATATGTCGAGGAATTTCTCCCTGTGGAATGCCCTGTGGTAGTTCTTGTAATTTTAAAACTTGGAAATCCACACAGTGGCATTTATCTGGCATAATGAAAAATGGATCCAACGGGCATTTTGGCCTTCCAGCTTGTTCTCTAAAAAATTAATTATTTGAAATTATTTTAATGGGCTGACATCCTCAGTCAGTCAATTCCAGAAGTACAGGATGCAATAAAACACCTAAAAAATAATAAATCTCCAGGAAGGGATGGTATACCTGCAGAACTTATTAAACGTGGAGGTGCTACTCTGACTTATAATATATATATATATATATATATATATATATATATATATATATATATATATATATATATATATATATATATATATATATATATATATATATATATATATATATATATATATATATATATATATATATATATATATATATATATATATATATATATATATATATATATATTGGATTTGAGGCTTCCGCGGGAGCTATATGTGATTTCAGTTGTTTTCCGGGTTTGACTCCGCGTTAAGTAATTTTGGTTTTTAGAAAAACCATTGTTTTGACGACGTTTCGGCAAGGTCACACTTGCCATTGTCAAGTCAGATTAGTTCTGCTTCGTCTTGATGTTTCAGGAGAACTGATTTCTCGGTCGCTGCTCGCTAAGTTTAAATACCTTGAAGCGCTTCTTGTTATTGGTCCTGTGCGCAGAGTGGGCGGGGTCTTCTTCGCTATTTTAATTTCTACGTTTTTCTGTAGAATATGTTTCCACGTATTTGGGAGTCTTTGTGCATCGTCTCTGGTATTTAAATTTTTTGGATGTTTTTCGATCTCTATGGCTTCCCTGGCTAGCATTAGCTAGCTAGCATATTGGCTAGCATTAGCTAGCTAGCACATTGGCTAGCATTGTTGTTCCATTTAAGTCGATTTTGCGTCCTGTGTTGATGGCATGTTGTGCTAGAGATGAAGTTTTCTGTTTTCTTTCGATGGCGTTTCGATGTTCTTCGCGTCTAACTTGTATCCTTCGATTTGTCTGTCCGATGTACGATTTATCGCAGTCCTCACACGGGATTCTGTATACACCTTGATTTTCCAATGCAACTTTTGTTTTTGCCGATGGTAATATGGTTGCGATTTTTTTGTCGGTGTTAAAAATAGTCTCTATGTTGTTTTTACGTAGCACTCTACTGATTTTGTCTGTCGTACCCTTTATATAGGGCAGGATAGTTTTTCCGACTGGTTTTTCCTCTTCTTCTGGATCTTTGATTTTGTTTCGGGATTTCTGTGCCTTTTCAATCGTATACATGGAGAAGCCATTTTTTCTTAGAGCTGTTTTGACTTTTTGCATTTCTTCGTTCTTATGTTCCTTATCTGCCAGTTTCTCAGATCTTGTTATTAGGGTTTTTATTACCGAATTTAATTGTGCAGGATGATGGTGTGAGTCTGCGTGTAAGTACCTGTCAGTATGGGTTGGTTTTCGGTATACTGTGTGTCCTATGCTTCCGTCTTCTTTCTTAATAACTAACACATCTAGGAATGGAAGTTGTTGGTTATTCTCCCGTTCCATGGTAAACTGTATTTTTGGGTGGATATTATTAATATGTTGTAGGAACTCGTTAAGCTTCTCTTCTCCATGTGTCCAGATAATAAATGTGTCATCAACATACCTAAGCCACAGTTTGGGTTTATGCTCTGCTGTTTCTATTGCTTTTGATTCTATATCTTCCATAAAAAGGTTGGCTATTACGGGCGACAGTGGTGAAACCCATCTGTGCCCCTTCAACTTGTTTGTACCAGAGGTACAAAACAACAATTAGAGGCAAATAAACAAATAAATAGAACTTTTCAATCAGGCTATTGAAGATACTTTTAAAAGATTAGAATGGGAAGAAAAAGGTATAAAAATTTGTGGACAACGCTTGAACCATCTAAATCCAAAGCTGATGACATCGTATTGATAACCGATAAAAAAGAAAAATTATTTGAAATGATGAAAGAACTGTACGTAGAAGCTGGAAAGATAGGCCTTAATATGAATTACAGCAAGGCCAAAACCATAACAAATACAAATGAAGACATCACAATGAGAATCGGACAAGATGAAATAGAACAAGTTCAGGATTATATATATCTTGGTCAAACTATAAAACTTAACAAAGAGAACCAAACAGCAGAGATAAAGAGACGAGTTAGACTGGCATGGGCGGCATTTGGCAAACTAAGCTTCATTCTTAAAAACAAAAGATATCCACAGCACCTTAAGACCAAAGTATACAATCAATGCGTACTCCCTGTTCTTACTTATGGTTCCCAAACGTGGACATACAAAAGCAAACAGGGACAAAATCATAAAAACCCAAAGAGCAATGGAAAGACAAATATTGCACATAAGACTAATGGATAAAAAGAGAAACGATTGGATAAGAGAGAAAACAAAAGTGAGGGATGTTAGACAAGAAGTTGCAAAATTGACATGGAGATTTGCTGGACACAATATAAGAAAAAAAGAAGACCGATGGAACAAAATTCGTATAAGTTGGAGACCGTGGGAATATAAACGAAGCAGAGGAAGGCCCCAAATGAGATGGTAGATGATATCAAGAAGCACCTGGGCTCTAGGTGGATGACTGTAGCGACAGACAAGGATTGGGGAGGCCTATGTCCAAAGATGGACCGAAGAAGGCTAATTAGATAGATAGACTACTAGTCCACTATTTCACATTAATAAAAAAACGCATATGTAAAAGTGTTGTTGTTCGCAATCATCGTAACATCTAAACAAGTTCAAACAATAAAAAAACGTTATCGCTAATATGGCATAAAATATAATTCAAACAAATTAAACAAGTTTTGATCTAAACACCAACAAAAAAACAAAAAAATCCAAGTATCCGTTTATTTTTGCACCCCAGTGTAGTAAATCATATAAACTCATATAATCCCTGCGTTAGTCATTACCGCCGAAAAATGTTCCTTTCACTATGTTTGCCGTCAAGTTTAATAGTTGCTTCAATGTTTAATGACTTCAGATTAAAGCACCCAGGTATGTGTAAAATTGAAACTTACAGAAAAATGAAGAAAATGAAAATATCTTTACACGTGCCTCAAATGGATTCAAACTCAGACTGTTTAGAATACAACACTTTATAGAAGCAAGCAGCTTATGCATAGATAATTCGATTGCATCATCTACCAAAAAAGCTCAATGGTAGGCACAAAAAGAAAACAGATGATGCTAATACATCTTACAAAATTGATGCAGAATTACCAGAAACTAATATAGTACAGTAAATGAAGCTAAAAATCAACTATTACCTCCGAATTCGGTGAACCTCCATCGATTTGCGTGAAAATATCGATTTGCATAAAAATTTGGGATTGGGTATATTTTACTCTTAACTTCAAAAGCGACATATGCTCAATTTGCGCTTTTTGTATTTTAGGGGCGAAATCCATCTCTTTTGTTAAAAATGGTAAAAAATGCAGATTTAAGCATTCTGGCATAAGTAATCTCGATTAATTAAATACAATAAATATTTTGCAACATTTATAAGCATGATTTGATTTTAATTAATTTTTCAAACCTTTTAGCAACTATCCCTTTAATCGAAAATAATGAAAAAAATCATTTTTTATATTTCTGATATATCAAATCGCATATTAATATTACACAAAGAGTTTCTTTAATGTTTATGATATAATTTTCGATTGACTGTGAAATGTCAACCCTTTAAAACCACCCCCTTAAAGAAATAGGAATAATTGAAAAAATTAATTTCAAGAAACTCTAACTATTTTAATAATAATACTATAGAATAACATAGAATAATACATTACTGAATTGAAGTCTCATTTACTGAGTATTAAAGTATTTATTTATTGCGTAATTTTGCACCCTTAAAAACTACCCCTTGTCATAAAAATAATGGAAAATGTTTTTTATTAGCTTTAATCATTTAGAAACTTTTTTATTGGTTATGATAAACTTTAATATATTCCAAACTTTATTAATATTATTCTTTTCACATTTCATTACATTGTACATTGTTTTACAGTGTACTCCTGATGAAGCTATCAAATAAATAGCGAAATATTGAGTTCGTTAGAAAAAACAAAGATTTTTAGTAGAGACCACTATACCTGATAATTTCATTTCTACTTGTTTATAAATTATTTTTTGGTCGAAATAATCACTTGTAATATATATATATATATATATATATATATATATATATATATATATATATATATATATATATATATATATAGACATCCTCAGTCAGTCAATTCCAGAAGTACGGGATGCAATAAAACACCTAAAAAATAATAAATCTCCAGGAAGGGATGGTATACCTGCAGAACTTATTAAACGTGGAGGTGCTACTCTGACTTTATATATATATATATATATATATATATATATATATATATATATATATATATATATGATTTCAGTTGTTTTCCGGGTTTGACTCCGCGTTAAGTAATTTTGGTTTTTAGAAAAACCATTGTTTTGACGACGTTTCGGCAAGGTCACACTTGCCATTGTATATATATATATATATATATATATATATATATATATTGGCTATTAGTTCCGTATATCTGTGGTCAATTCTGCTGTTAATCAAAGAACTTTTCACTGCCCAATGTTCGACGCTGTCGAAAGCCTTTTCGAAATCTATGAACGCCATATATAGAGGAATGTGGTATTCATTTGCTCGTTCTATAAGTATTTTCATACTTCACTTTTTAGTAAATAGTCACTTGTGCTGAATCCCTTTCTAAAACCAGCTTGTTCTTTCGACTGGTATCCATGGAATTTTGTCGTCAATCTATTGGTTAAAATTTTTGTTAGGAGTTTATACATTACATTGAGGAGTGTTATAGGACGGTAGTTTTTTATATCTGCTTTATCCCCTTTCTTGTGTACGATAATTTTTACTGATTCCTTCCAGTTCTTTGGGATTCTTTTTTCTCTTAATATCTTGTTAAAAAGGGAATGTAGAGTATTAATTACCACTTTTCCACCATATTTCAGCATCTCTGCAGTTATTCCATCTTTTCCAGGCGATTTGTTGTTTTTCATTTCTTTCAATGCCTTCTTTATTTCTGATTTGCTTATTTCTGGCTGTAGCTCTGAGTTGACATTTTTATTTTAACCTTAAGTTGGTTTTTAATTTCTTCTGGTGGTTCCTTTTTTGTTTTATATAATTCTAGTAGAAATGGTGGATTATATTTATGATGTCATCTTTAACGTTTGTTTCTACTCCATTTACATCTTTTATTTTGTTTATTTCAAACTTACCTAATTTCGGACTTAGCATTTCATATTTTTGTTGTTCTGTATTACTTCTTCTATTTTTATTTCTTGTTTTTTTCTCTTATTTTCTTTTATCATTCTGCTTATTGTTTTATCGATTTCTACATATTCTATAGATTTCCTTTTGCCTCCTTCGTTCAGCTTCCTTTTTTTATCCATAAGCTTCTTTGTTTCTGTTGATATATAGTTGTTCTTTTTTAAATCCTTTTTTGCTATTTCTTTTCCTGACGTAATCATTGTTGCTGTAAGTATGTTGTCTATTTCGTCTATATCTTTATCATCACTGTCTAATTTTTGGGTAAGTTGTTCTTTTAATAGGTCTTTGTATATATCTTAGACTAGTATTATTTAAGTTTATTGTGGTACTGTACCTGATTATAAGTTCAGCTGTAGGTTTTTGTAAAAATTATGACACCGGAAGAAGTAGCACCAGCTGTTGCTTTACAGGATGATGGGCGGAGCATTCGTTACGTCGCAAATGCTTTAGGAATTTCTCGAGATATAATGTTTGATGCAATACAAAGATTTCGGAAAACAGGACAATACACCAGGAGGACAGGTCAAAGTAGACGAAGAACCACAAGTCAAGTTGAAGATCGCTTTCTTAGGTTACGAGTGTTAATCGTTCATTATCAGCACCAGTGCTTGTTCAACGATTAAATCATGTCCATAGAAACTCAGTTTACGTTTATACCGTTCGAAGACGCTTAAATAAATATGGATTAAGGTCCAGAATACCTGTCAAGGGACCTCTATTAACAGCAGATCATCGGACGCAATTACACTTCGCTCGAGAACATCTTAATTTGGGTATTGACGATTGGAGTGTTGTGATTTTCACGGATGAATCAAAATTTAACAGATACTCATCGGATGGGCGGCCTAGAATATGGAGAAGAGCTGGTTAACGTTACCAGCAATGTTGTCTTACTTCGAGAGTTCAAGTAGGTGGAGGTGGTATAATTTTGTGGGCAGGTATTTCCCTAGAGGCTCATACAGAACTTGTTACAATTCAAGGGGACAATTTGAACGCTCAACGGTATATTCAGCAATGTTTGGAAGATCATGTAGTGCCATTTGCCCCATTTGTTGCAGAAAACTGGCGCCTGATGCAAGATAATGCTCGTCCACACATCGTAAGAATAACACGGGATTACTTTGATGAAGTTGTGATTCGTTTATTACCATGGCCCCCAATGAGTGCAGACTTAAATCCAATAGAGCATTCATGGGATATTCTGGAACGACGTGTTCGATGTAACCATTGTGAGTTTGAAACCATGAATGATTTGGAGTAAGCAGTTCGTGACAAATGGGAGCAAATCCCTCAAGACTCGACTTTGCTGCCTTAATCCGTAGTAGGCCTGATCAAATGAGAGCAGTAATTAGAGCTCGTGGAGGTAATATACTCTACTAAATATCGTTTTCCATAAAAAATGTTTGTATTTAAAAAATAATAATTTTTGTTTCGTTGCAGATTTTTAAATTTTTTGAATTGTTTATTGGTTTTTTCTGTGTAACGTTCTTGAGTTGTGATAAATTTAACTTTTAAATTTGGTTTCTTAATAAATACTTAATCCTTAATTGGAAACATCTTAAACTTTTTTAAATGCCAGTTTTTAGGAAAAATCTGGGTGTCTGGTTAATTTTGTACCCCAGTGTACACAGACATTACTGGATTTTTTACCTCGATTTTCCTTTACATATGTATCAAGCAGCTCCTTTTTGATAGGATGTGATAATTCATTGATAACCGAATCACTGGTATAACCAGATGTATTAAGTAAAAATAGTTTGCATACTGGCAGAAATTCAGTGTTTCCTTTTTACATAAATAAAATACTCTTGTTTCATTTTTCTTACATATACTATTAGCAGCTACTGGAACTCTTCTACTCAAAACATGTCCGAATGAAACACATTTTGCAAGCCATAGCCTTCGAGTTGTATAATCTGCATCCCAATATGCATTACAAATATCTGCTCAGCATTCTTCGCTGAATTCCAAACAAGACTTCCTACACTAGTGCTTCTAGGAAAATGGCATGTTTATTTTTGTTATATTTACTTTTTTCTATAGCTGACATTTGTTTCCTTTTTTTAGTGACTTGGAATTCAGATGTCAAATCTGAATGATCCGTCATGTTTCCAGGTTTCGAGTCAGGTTGGTAATCTGTAGCTAATTCTCCCCAGTCCCAGTCGTTCTTGTTCTGATTTCGATACATGTCTAGTATTAACTAAATTCTTGTATTTTTATTCATATTTGAAAACTAATCAGTAACAGCAGAAATTTAAAAGTCTCTTTTAAATAACTAATGAACGACTAAAATTTTTTTATAATTTCAACTTCAACAGTCTTGGCGAATGTAAACTCTATGATTCCCACGGTAAATCGCTGTAAATCCCAAAACTAAATAAAAACGTATATACAGTGTTATTACTTGGGAATATGGATATAATGTGTTTGAAATTAGTAAAGTGAAAATTGAATGTGATATACAGTGTTTCATAGCAACCATAAATTGTGGTACTACTCATTTGTTCCTTCGTAAATGGTAGGTAATAACAACCTATATCCAAAAATGCGATAAAAGTGATTTAAAAAAATGGATATACAGTGTTTCTACTTAGGACAGCTGCCTTGATCTATAAAAATTAGTAATTTTAAAACATTTTTTATATTCCAGTATAGCATATTTACGTACACCAACTACATAACAAAAACCTTTATTATCATTTTGTAACAAAGAGGCATTAACTATGTTATTAACTATTCGAAATATTTTAAGGTCTATTTCAAAGAATCAATTAAAATATTACTTACGTATTACATTTTCTTGGCAAAATATATCCTTCAAGTCCTGGCTTAACAGATAAATTAGGAATAACATCACTGCAAGTACGACACTGGATTGATATTTTTGTCGCTTTAGCTTTTATACCTGATGCACTAATGACAATTCCAGGAATTTTTACTAATCGAGAAACTACGTCAGACTGAAATAAAACAAAAAAAAATATTAATCATTATAATTTTTCTTTCAATAGAAACAAAAATTCAGATAGCTAAAATAGTTTTAGGTCTTGTTTTTATTGTTTGTAATTTGTGTAGTTTTTGTTTTGTTTGTATGTTTTTGTTTTAATTTTAAATATTGGACCTTTGAAATAAGATTAAGATCTAAGTTGTTAAGGAAAATATAAATTAAGACTACAATTCAATTATTCGCTAAGTTTTTACATATGAGAGTAAGACATCGGCTTTACATCAGCGGGAAATAAATAATAAGGCTCTCTGAAAACATTGTCAGACATATAAGCTAACCGGATAAGGACACGTCATGTAATAAGATCAAAGGAAGACAGTGCTAAAAATAGTGTTTGTTGAGAGACCAGACGGTAGAAGATTACTAAAGTAGGATCGTTTTAGCCTGTCGCATAAGTAATAAAAGTGTCTGTTTAGATTTGCCTCAGGTAGTCAGCGGTTTTCAAATTAAAAATTAAAAATTATTCCCACATTAGGGATTTTTATAATAAAATAACTTTGTATTATGTTTTATAAATTCCTTGCAGAGCATCAACTTGGATAGTAAAGATCTCCGATTAATTAAGAACTTATATTGGAGGCAGAGTGCCAAGATTAGGATCGACGATCATACATCTAGTAATATTAGTATAAATAAAGGAGTAAGGCAAGGATGCATACTATCCCCTATGCTGTTCAATCTTTACTCGGAACTACTATTCAAGCAAGCCTTGGAAAACCTTTCCACAGGAATAAAAATTAATGGAGAACCAATATCTAGCATAAGATATGCAGATGACACTGTCCTACTGGCTGATACAGACACAAACTTACAGGGGGTTATAGACCACCTTAAGGATGCTTGTCGAGAGTTTGGAATGAAGATCAACGTAAAAAAAAACAAAAGTAATGGTGATCCAAAGAAAACAGAATATCCCCTTACCTATAAAAATAAATGGGAATATTTTAGAACAGGTAAACCAATACAAATACCTTGGCTGTTGGATTAATTGCAAGCTGCACCCAGAACAAGAAATTAAAGCGAGAATTGCTCAAGCTAGGGATAGTTTCTTTAAGATGCGCGTTCTATTCTGCGATACACATATAAATATTAAATTGAGATTAAAACTTGTAAAATGTTTTATCTGGTCTGTTCTTCTCTACGGAGTCGAAACGTGGACTTTAAAAATAAAGAGCCTGAATAGAATCGAGGCATTTGAAATGTGGGTGTACCGTAGAATTTTAAAAATTCCTTGGACAGCACGAAAAACAAATGAAGAAGTACTAGCTAGACTCAATTTAGAAAAAGAACTATTGAGAACAGTCAAAAGAAGAAAAACCAGTTATTTAGGGCATTTGTTGCGCAACGAGAAATACTACATCCCTCAGTTGATAATAAAAGGCAAAATAGAAGGAAAGCGAGGAATTGGAACAAAAAAATTGTCCTGGTTACGTAATATCAGAAACTGGACAGGACTTGGATTTGAGGAACTCTTAAGAGCAGCTGAAGATAGACAAACGTTTGCCACCATAACCGCTAACCTCCATTCACGCAACATGGTTAAAAGTTTTCAAAGTTCTGGTCGTCACTGGTTTCTGCAAACTTGGAATAATGGGTTATGCAAAGCATTCTTCATTTTTTAAATATTTGCATTCTTCTAACACGTCCGGTTGTACCGGAAGTCGCCATTAAGTTTCTTATTTTAAATAGAAACTGTGCTTTTTGTTATTTTTTTTAGAATCTACGTAAAATTCTGGATCGATTTTGATTGGGCTACCATCCTCGAAAAAATAGCCGTTTTTGAGATATTTAAAGTTTTTGAAAAATTTTTCATATTACACATGCAACTTCAAAAATTAATATTGTGGTTAATATTTATGCTGAAAAAACAAAAATTCTTTGTCAGCGTGAACTAAACTCTATTTTTATTTAAGCATAAAAAAATTTGCCAATATTAATACTGGGTGTTCAAAATTGTGTATTATATTTTTATTTTTATATATTTTATAACTAAATCTATAAAAATATATATCTATATAAAACAAAGACTTATTCCTACTTCCTACACACACCTTCCCAAACCCACCGAGGTAGGTTGTCCTCCTGCGGTACAACCAGCCCCGGCTTTCCTCCGCCCCCTGGTCTTTGGAGCCAGGTCTCGACTATTTCACGGTATCCCCCGTCAGGCAATGGGAGATTTCCGTGTATTTACATTTAAGTGGTAGGTTAGCCCATTTGGCTTTATCACTACCGGTCAAAGCAATTGTTCGGCGATCTAATGATGGTTGCGTGTACCGATACTTGCTTTCCCTTTTCTGCACAAAGTGCAGTCGAGAGCGAGCAAGTATCGAATCCTTTCATCCTCTAATATCCTCATCGTCTAATATAGGTTATTCCACGAATATACGACTGTTTGGAATTATTGCGTCAACGAATATTTTACTGTGCAAGTAGAAGTATGAAAGTAAATTGGTCTAATTATTATTCCAATAAAAAGCATCTATTGTTAGTATTACATCTGAACTAAAATCATTTCAGTTAATATGTATATTAACTGAATTAACTTACATTTCAGTTAATAATTTCAGTTAATAATTACAAATATACGCAAAATTTATTGTGAAATTTAATCCGAAAATAACAAAAATTTTTACGCAAACGCTCATTTTTACGAAAATGTGTTCATCAGACATTTGGGTTGGATTTCGGTGAAATGTAAACAAAGTACATTTGAAATGTAAACATTTGTAAATAAATGCAAAGAGGCGTGCCGGGTTTCTTTGATATTATATTTTATTACTTTATTAGGTACTAGAACTGTAATAAACATAAATATACTATTTTTATTATAAATGAAAAGAAATTGCCAGAACGATGGTTCAGAAACCAGAAATAGAATCTATATAATAGTTCACTTTGTTAGTTTTAAATATTTGTTTGGTTTGAGTGGATGTACTCTTAAGTTCCGAAAGTTTTTTTATAACGGGTATAATATACCGGCTATTGATAGTCCGTAGAGTACCGAGTCGTTACAGATATTAAAAAATAACGAAAATTTACATACAGTTTCATATATCGCCGACTGATTTTAGTTTTAAAAACCGTCCGTAGAGAGGTTTCCGGTGAAATCCGTTATAGTACTGGATAATAGTGCGTATTATTCGGAAATTTTAAATAAGCAACCAACAAACACCTGGACTGTAGATAAAATAAAAGAATGGTTAACGAATAAAACTATTACATTTCCTCAATACTGTTTTAAGCCTCAATTACTAACTTTAGCTAAAAGTCATGCACAACCAAACATATATATATATATATATATATATATATATATATATATATATATATATATATATATAATATATATATATATATATTAGACGAAATTATACATAGCTTTGGACATCGTGTGTTAAGACTACCGCCCTATCATTGCCAATTCAATCCAATTGAATATATTTGGGGGATCTGCAAAACATATTATGATAACCATATTGGATACAAGGGTTACAGTGACGAGGCAGTCTTGGAAACATGGCAACAAGCCTTGGATATTGCCACTCCTGAAATTTGGGGAAAAAGTGTAATAAAATGTGAAGACTTAATTAAAGAATGGTGGATTCGTGAAGGTCGCATCGAAGCAGTTAATCCTATTATAATTTACCATACAAATGAGGATAGCGACGACAGTGATTATGGCTGTGAATCTGATGGTTGATAATAGTTTTAGGAGATTAGGTGAATAAGAGAATAAGTAAGTTTTTTTGTTTTTTTAACACTAATTGAATATTCGACTAAATAAAGTACACTATTTAATCACTTAAGTATTGTTACACTTCGTTTAAATCACTTAATTTAAACACCAACTTGTTTAAAATACTAAACTCAATGATAGTAATTATATAATTTAAATTCTGAATTACAACTATTATATAAACTATCAACTCTATATTTATATCATGACTTCATATTTAAATCTAAGGTTTATATCTGTCGTAACAGTATTTTAAAAATGGGGAGAATTTACTATTGTACAATGCAGCACATTGGACCATTGAAGTCGACACCTTAAAGCGAATTTAAAACAGTCGTATATTCGTGGAATGGAGTATACCCAGTCATTCGTCCAGTCATGTCCTTAATCTACCTTACTTGCTAATCTAATTTTTTTGGTGCTTGCATTCAAGAGCGTCGTGCCCCCAGCTCTTGCATGCGGTTTTTGTTTTATTATTTTTTGTTTTTTTTTTGTGGTTAGTACCCTTTTGTGTTAATTTTTCTATCTACGTCTTAATCTATGGACAGCAACAGCCTTGATCTGCACAGATAGCAGACAAGTACTACTAACCTTGAATAGACCACTTGTCACATCAGGGTTAGTAATGGAGTGTTACGTATAGTAGCTTCGGATAGTAATACCATCATCCTGAGGTGGGTTAAAGGACACAGTAGGAATAAAGGCAACCGCATTGCTGACCAATTATCTAGGAAGGCGGCAGTCCTAAGACTCTTAGGACCTGGAGATCTTTTTGGTTGGTCAACTACAACAATCGCGGAAATTGTCAAATGTCACTCCCATGCGCAAACCGTAAAAATATGGGAAGAAGGGCAAGGATGTAAACTTGCCACGGTAACACTAAGTAACCTTGAAGAGTCAACATCAAAGAAGTACTTTGACCAGGAAAAATCTACGCTTGACAATTGGTTTTTTAACTGGCCATTGTCAACTAAGTAAACACCTCCACACACCGGAGCTAGCAGACACCTCTATGTAGAAAGTGTGAACGAGAAGACGAAACTAGAGCATAATCCTATGTGAATGTCCGGAGTTATCGTTAATACGAGAGTACGCGTTCGGCGAGTCCTGGCCCACACCTGTCAACATAAGAGAGATGTCTCCTGGTGACTTGTCCACCTTCCTAGAAATGGCAGGATGGACAATGAGCTTAGGGCGACAGCTACCTGGGGGGATGCACAATGGGTCAATTGTGGCCTAAGTGCAGTGAAACGCTCCTTACTCTACAGAAACAGATAATTGAATATCGTTCTGAAATAAAAAGAATATACTAATTTAAGTATTTTACATCTTTACGTATATAGTCGGCTTCCGCACATCCGCTCAGTCTACACATTATTAATGTGAATGAAAACTTATTTTATAAACTAGATCTAATTTATTATTTTTATTATTGTAAGCAGAAAGATAATATTCTATTGTTACAATGTAATGTGATAAGCAAGGAAAAATATTTTCTTACGCGCGGCCAATGATCAAATTCAAAATTTCCGAGAATGCATGAAAAACACGTGATTTCCGCTAGTTTTGAGCAGTTACGACGCGTGATTTTTATAGTTTCATTTAATATTTGCCAGACTATAGTCCAATTAGAAATCATAAGAATTATCATAAACAGTAAAATAGTATAAAACTTTCAGTACATATTTTATAGCAGCTCTATTTCAGTAGAGTAACTGTAAAACTAATATGTTTATAAAAACTTTAAAATGTGCCGGTAATAAATAATTATATTCAGTTTGTTACAATCAATATACCCTTAAAAATGGGGTGATATAACTCTAATATCTAATTATAATGTACTATTTAATATAACTCTTTATCTATAAAAATATATGTTGTGATAATTACTTTTAAAGATCTAAGATCTGAAGGGTGTGCATCAGAGGATAACATAATTTGAATATCCTCTACTTCTTCTTCACCTTCTGGCCTAGGAGCTGTAAGTTCGTCTGCTACTTCTTTGGCTGCTTCCTCAAAAAGTGCCAAATGTTCAGAAGGCTGCTTGTATAATTTATCAGCAAGGTATTCATCAAAACTTCCAACATCCTCAACATTCACTTCTAAGTAGTACTGGCGGAGATTATAATTTCTTTTTAGTGTATCCCTGTTAAAGAAACACACTTTTAGATATATTTTAAGGTAATATACTTAATTAAAAAACATTTGAGGCTACGAGTGCAATAGTGGACTAACCTCAATTTATACAAATGCTAGAAAATAGGATTGAAAACATATTGTAAATTGTCATATTTATGATAACGTTTCTTTCACGATTTTTTAATGAAAACTAATTATCTAACAGAAAAGAATTCGTTAAGTGACAATATAACATTTATATAACATGAATTACATTTTCTGCTTTTGAATGTAAGTTTGTCCAATTTACCTACAAATTATTTACCATCGAAAAAAGTTGGGTTTAGTGTTCTGGTTAAGGATAAAAACATTGGTAATGTTTGGTACAGAATGCTTGATTGATTTTACAAAAACATAATTCAGCATTAGTTGTTTCACAGCTGAACATTATCAAATGGATGTATCAAAGGTTGATGTGTTCTTCTGGGCTTTGTACATTGCACTATTTATATCTTCCGTTTGCACAGAAAGCAACATCGATTTCTAATATGTCTACCAAAGTCTCAGACAACGCGTCATAAAGAAACAATTCCAGACTACAGGCCTTAGACAAGGAAAGAGAGAGGACAGGTAACGCTCATTTAATAAACCAGCGCAAAGTGAGTCCAGTTTCGATGTGACGGCCATGTTTTGGTCACTGATTTTCTACTGATTTTAACTTTAATTTAGTGATTTACTGAAACACAATATCGGTCTACTTAAAAATATGTGAAGATAAAATCATGTTCAGAAAGTAATCATTATATTAGTATTCAATTATAAATTTTGAAAAAATCTGACCTGGCAACCCTGCTGGTGTCGGTTTTAGGCTTCAGTTAATTCCATACGATTACGCGTCCCCACCCCTCTCTTTCCTTGACAAAGCTACAGGTTTCAAGCTATAACGTTACAATTTCCATAAATTTTCCTTCATCAAATAGTAAATATTATAAACTTGAATACATGAATGACATTGGTTTAGATGAATGTAAGAACCCAATAGTGTATATTTTGCAATACACTATTGCTTTGATAAAATAATTATTTTTTTCACACACAGAATCTTCAAACTTATTTACAAAAAATTCACACTTCCTCCTACTCTCACGAAGGGGAAAATTTACTCATCCCAGACACCTTTGGTGTCGCCCTTTTGTGGAGATGACGCGTACTTGTGATTTTTGTATGCCTGCACAGGACACAGCAGAGGCTGTATGCTTACTCAATAGCACAAAAGGGGAAAAGCTTCTCATCACCATAGAGAAAGGTTGCAGAGCATCGAGGCTTTCCAAGAGCAAATAGGTAAGTGGGAAGACCACTACAAGATAGGCAAGATGCGACCACTGAGGGGCAACACTCTTGTTACAACAATTGCCCAGTGAACGAAGCCAAAATACTCTTGCGCAGAGATTTCTTTAAAGTTGAGGCATGTTTGTAGGTGCAGAGTTGAGAAAAGGCTAAATCAAAATAAAAAGGTGTGGTAAATGTTGGGCATATACGCATGACACCCATAACTGCAGAGACCCTACAAAGACCAAAAAGTTTACAAGTGAATGTCGGAAGAGCAAAGGTTTCACACAATCTGATATATGTGAAAGAACTCGAAATTGAGCAGAGATTCTAATAGTACCCAAACCAAACAAGAACATAATCCAAAATAGCAAATGGATTACAGATAACAGAGAATATATAGCAATTTACCCCGTAAATCATAAAGTGTGTATAAATAAGATTGTAAAAAAGGGGCACATATTAATAAAACTAGAAAAAGTAGCTATTATTGCCTGTTATTTGACTCAACATAGATAGAAAACACTATAAACAGCATGTTAAATCCATTATCGTCGCATGTGTAAACAAAAAGAATTACTAAGTATCATCAAAGAGAGGAAAATGCAATACTTGAGTCATGTGTTGAGAGACGAAAGATATGAATTACTTGAAGTTATACTGGAAGGAAAAGTACAGTGCAAAAGATCAGTAGGAAGACGCCAGAACTCGTGGCTGAAAGACCTGAGGAGATGGTTCGACCGCTGATCCGTAGAAATCATTCGCTCAGCTGTTTCCAAAACTACAATAATTGCCATTTGGATCGCCAACCTTCGAAAGGGGACAGCACCATGAGAAGAAGAAATCCATTATGGTATGAACAGATCTCTAAGGCGAATCTAATAGCGCTAAATTATGAAAAACCTACCTTTGTTTGAAGCCGAAGTCACATAGAGACATTACCCTCGTAAATGAAAATTATACCAATCAAATTGAAACATTTTTTTTAATTAATATATTAAATTATTTTTAATTCCCTTTACCCATGTGGATGATACGCCGATGATCGTGTTTACGATTAGAAAATATTATTGAAAACTATCGAAATATGACGAAAGAATCTACCTACCAAACTAGCACGGAATTTCCCTGAGTCGAAAAGTTTTTAATCCTTTCCGTCTTAATCCCGAGTATGAAAGGAACTAATGCTTTTCGGTGAAGGCGGGTTCCTTTATGATAGATTTGTAAATATTCCGAAGGCACGTATAGTAATTTTTCGGAAAAACCTAATCTAGATGATTTATATTTCATCACGTTAGAAGGGTACCGTTAGTTTCGATGTTCATTAGAATCTTTTTACCTTCTCAGAACTACATACAACTGGCCTATGATTTTTAAGTGGGAGATATCACTTCTTCTTCTTCTTTTTCTTCGGTAGTTTGTAAGATTTTAGAAAAACCAAGTTACTTCTGGTGGGACAGTCTTTGCGTAAGAATTAGATCTTACTGTATACCTGTTATCTTACCGTCTGTGAATTGTTTTCTAAGTGTGTATAACACTTGTTTATTTGAGTCTTTTTGATCTTATACTATATTAGATTATATATAGATCTAAAGTACCTTTAATGTTAATTAAATTCAGTGTTACATACAATTGTAGTATATAGCTTCAGTGAAGTACCTAGTGCAGCAGTCATCAGAAATTACTGTAAGTTACCACAATCTTAGTATCTCCACTTATCTGGGCAAGTAATATGGTATGGTATCATATCATCCTCCATTATCTAGACGTATCTAAAGTTCATCCATGTCTTCACCTGTAGATTGCTGATTTTTGCATTCAATTTAAAGAACATTTGAATAAATTCAAGAAATCTCAATAAGTAATAATTATGAACATTCAAGTCTCAGTTTCTCATTAAATAATAGTGCGAGATAGTTAATCCACTTAACCAAGAACGGTTTGGTTAAATTCTTATGTTTTCATTTCGGTAACCTTTTTGTATTTTTGTAAATTTAGAATTGATTAATTTTTGTTATCTTTTGTGTTTGTTATGATTTTTATTAATTTTTTTTTGCTGTAATATCTCGAGATACGCTCACAAAACTTTATTTGTACCGGGTGGTCCAATAAGACGATCTCTCGGCTATATATCAGACACTATTCATGTTTACTTTTCAACTTTAGGAGAAAAAATTTTTTAGTAAAAGTGGCCAAGAGAAACCGCTGGAAATAACTTTCAAGTTTCTGGGTTAACCGCTAGGGGGCGTAACCTGTGAAGAAAAATTTGAAAACCAGTTTTTTGTGAAATATGCCCTATTGTTCAATCACAAATTAACCCCTTAATTTGTAATCTCACATTATTCTTAACTTCTTAATCTTTTATAGTTTCACCGTGTATAAGTTTGCATTATACATATTGCAAAACCATATCGTATGATAATTTAATAATTAGTTCATTTACCTACCACTAAATAAATTGCCGAATAACAATATTTTCTAATTGAACTTCCTAAGTGTCGCAATTAAGGCGTAGATTAAATTGTATTATAAGCAAAAGTTAGGTGGTGTGATATGAACGAAGCAATGACCTAAGGTGCTTATGTATCTATTATGTGTGAGATTATAAATTGGGGATTTGAGTTCAAATGAACACAGTCAATATTGAGTAGTTACCGAAAGAACACCATATTGTGTAATTACGAGTTGCTGTCAATAAATCATCACTTTTACTCCGCAACTTCAACCTTTTATTATACCTATCAGCATCGATCGACGAGAAGCGGACAAAGGGGCATTACGAACCGAACCGAACTTCACTACTAAGTTCGATATTTTTCCACCTATTATATCAAGATTTAAGTAAGTAAACTAAAAAGAGGCCTGAATTCTGCACAAAGTTGTTCAAGTACTTTTTTTAATTTTTCAAATGGAGGGGGGGAGTGGGAAAGTATTTGTGGATAAATACCTATAACTTTGGTTTGGATTAACCAATTTTAACGAAATTAGTGTCATTAGAAAGAGTGTAGATGAATTAATTTATAATGGAACTGGATTAAATTAGTAACAAAATGGCGCAAACCACATGTTAATAGCTTTTGTCGAACTCGAGATATGAATAAAAACGCATAAACATAAGTAAGTATAGTATTGACTCATCCTGTATTATCAATTTAATTAAAAAATAAAAAATTTATTTATTGACAGCATTCAAAACATTGTTAAATAGTGTTATATTATAATTTAAATTGAAAATTGCACTTTTTTCAATAGATAATAATATTTGTAATAACCAGTAATTAATTATCAGTACTAATAATTCGTGATAAGTATATCAAATGCAGAATTGTATATGATTGGAGTTTATTTCGAATGTCACCAAAATGCCACTATTGCCTCACGTAGACATTCTGTAAGACAACCTGACAGGAGACATTATGGCAAAGAATTATTTGAAATAAAGGCAAGAAGATTAAGAGAAACTGGTAGTTTTCATCGTCCTTGTTTTAAACGACGTAGTAGAGGTATAACCGAAGATAATTCAACCAATGTTCTTGCTTTAATTTAACAGAATCCACATATAAGTAGTCAGCAAATCTCTATAGAATTAGTCATACCCAAAACTACTGTTCTAAGGATTTTAAAATATCACAGGTTGGATTTTTATATTATAAAGTGAACGTTTAGGTAGGAAACTTGGAATTCCCTTTAAACTTTAGA